AAAAGGACAGCATAAACCACACAACTGAGTTACTATTTAAAGAACAAGAATTTAATTTGGTATGCAGTGTTTTCCTAGGAGGATCTTTATTTCCAGTGTTATACATGTGAAAATAAGAATGAATGTGACTCATTATCTACATGTATAAAAATATAAACATTCTATCAAACATTTGCAAAGTCACTGTTCATGATATGCATCACTAGACCTATGCCTTAGCTTCTAATCAAAAGAGACACTGCCTTTTTTAATAGCACTTGCAAAACCACTGCATTAAATAAGAACATGAAATGAGAACAACAGCTACAAAATGTACACAGGACTCCAGTATTGTGCCTTTAGTTTCCTGTCCTCCTGCATGTCAACAGGTTAGCAGAGTCGTCATGGTTATCCTTTACTTGAGCTCTCAGTAGAAGAGACCAGCAAAACTCAGTGACTTTGCCTTGAGCGTTTTACCTTTAAGAAATTTTACTGAAATTACTGAGCAATGTTTAAGAAAAATATTGTATTCTGTGGCAAACAATCAAATTACTATTACATTTATGGCAGCATCCTTTTAAGCCTAGATGTAGTGAGTTATCAGTAAATGTAGGGCCCCATTTCCTAATACTAGTAATGCTCAAGAGTTTTTAGCACAAACACAAAGGTTAAAAAATTGTCAGTGTATGGTTTTATTACACCCATTTTCACGTAAAATGTGAGAATTTCTGGGTCATCAGCCAGCAAACAGATAGGCAATCAGTCATCAAAATACAGGAGATCACTGTTTTAGAGATGCATTCAGGTACCTGTAAGTTTAGCTATGATTCACATTCAAGCAAATATGTAATTGATTTCAGTTCTACAAGCTGATATTCATATTCAATTTTTCCATAGAAACAGGTATAGGAAACAAGTAAAACATTACGATATTATGTACATAGTGTAATATGCAAATGCTCAGCTAGATATATTATGAAATTCTGTAGCACTAAAATGATTAAAAAACTAAATGATTCGTGTAAAATGTTTATATACTGTATATATATATATATATACACACTAAATCCGAAGTTCAATTTAAAACTGCCCCTATTCATAGTCCTATGATGGATATAGTAAGCTACCAGCTTCTTTAAAAAAAAAAGAAAAAAAGCTATCTAGACCAAATTTGAACACTTTACTGAAAACTGATTTTATATAAAATCTTAAAAAACATACTTCAAAATTACTTAACAGAAACTAGAAAAGGATGGTCATTATTCTCAAGAACGGCATTGTAAAGACCTAGTAGCTGTGATCAATGTCCTTTCACTTGTGGTATAAATGTTAAGCACAAAGAAATCTTTTCAGAGTAAGGCATGGGACAAACAGGTTTCATTCTGTCTTCAGGTATATTGGCCTCTCACTCTTATTGCTCATGTAAGTTGGCAGGTATACGTCTCTCCTTTTAAAAATACTGCAACTATCTACAATACCCATTGCTTTCATATGTGTGTCTTCAATTTAATCAAATTGACAAGCAATCTTGACAGTATTAAAAAAAAAAAAAAGCAAACAAAAACCAAACTGGTGATGCGGATTATTTCCAGTTTTATGCATTGTGCATAATGAAAGACCAAGTGGTGAACACAGAGGCTGAGCACTGAAACTCAATACATATGTAGGAATAGCTCTTTTCAAAGGAATTAAGGTTTTAAAAATAAAACCCTACTGTGAAATTCTTTGGTTAGAATACAAGTGCTGGAAGTATTTCTAAATTTGGACTTAGAACAATTTCTTATTTAAGAGTTTTAAAAATATAACTTCAAGCCTTTACTGTGTACTGTTAAATCCCTCAATGCTCCAGATACATTTAGGATATTTTTCTGTGAAGGTCTGAACGGACAGTATAGGATTTTTGATCAAGTTCAGGTTTCAAAGGAAAATTCTTTTGTACCCTAATCTTCATTAATTTATTGAGATTGAGCAGCTTGCTCAATCTTCCCTACCGTAAACCCTGCTGCTCAGATCATCTGTTCCAAAGCAAGCTATTGCTGCCTCCTCTGGGAAAGAAAAATGGTTAGATAATGCAAACAAAATACAGCTTGGAAAGGGTAATTTCCTCTGAAGAAACTTGGCATCACTCTCAGTTTTGTAAGGATGGGGCTTAATTCTTTCTAAGAAGCACTAATTTTGGCCAGGAAGAGGTACTTAACTCTCAGCAGTGTCACTGCCCTGGTAGTACTGCCATGAAATCGAAGAAACTGGTTCTTAAAAAAGTGGTTTCTGCATCAGTTCTGTTGGCTTCCAAGTCTTACAGCACTAACATGACCAAAACTAACAAGCAGGGTGCTCGTGATTACACTTGGAATGTACATCTGCATTAATTAATTCAATGTACATGATTTTAGCTTCCCAGGAAGCAGGTCCTACCTTCACTCTGGCAAGCCTGGCTTCATCTCACCCCCCTCATTCTGAGGGTACTTAAGGAAATATACATTGGGATTTCTAAGCATGTTATGGCCAGTAACTTCAAGAGAATTTTAAGGACTTCACCCATGAAAATTACGATTCACAAGCACTCTAATTTTTCAAAGCATCGTTGTTTTACTTCTCAAGGAAATATACATGTGTCTCTGAGGACACATTATAGTTCAAATGGTTGATTATCCAGAGAACTTGGCCTTTCATATCAGCCTTATGAACCTGCTTATGCAAGCCCCAGTCCAATTTAAGAACAGAGAGGGGAGTTCGAAAAGGTAGGGAGCAGGCAGGGGAGGTGGATGCAACCAGTCCTGAAGGGCCACACGCATGTGCCTCCTGCAGAATTGCTCATCTCTATAGATGAAGTCTGAGCAGGAGTGCCAACCCCTCACTGGCAGGTATCACTTGAATGTGACAGTCCTTCAGAGACAGGCATCATTTTGATGGGGTGAGAGGATAAAATGGGACCACTATGGGTCCACCCACAAAGGTGAAATCCCACTTAAGGATATGGGGATGAGAAAAAACAGCCATTTGTCATGCTACCTTGAACAGAAATTGCTGAAAAGCAACTGGAAGGTTCCTCAGCCCCTAAATGGGTGGGTTTTAAAACACTCCACCCTGACAGAGGTATCCCTCAGCTTCTGTGTGCAGACAGGGGCAGGGGCTGGACACACACACACTTTCCTGGGACAAGTATTTGTGTACTCCCAATACCTCTCCTTCCTCACTACCAACACAGCTACTGGGAGGCATTGGAGGGAGGATGACAGGATGAGCTGGCATACAGAGGTTGAGCAGGGACACGGTAGACAAAAAGGGACATGGTGGCCAAACCAAACATGATGACCTCCTGTCCCTGCGGCCATCAGGAGCTGCGTGTAGGAGTGATGGGGGCTGTGCTGGAGGCTGACCTGCACTTGTGCATGGACGCATGCACCAGGGTGAAGAAAGTGCAGGGGGACACTACCCCCCTCCACGTCCTCCTTCCTCCATGACGGGAGGGGACCATGAGTGTGAGGGTATGCAGGGGCCACCGCCTCATCCCCCCGCCACGGGCTGGGCAAATGCTCAGTCCCGGCAGAAGACATACTCAGTGTAGCTGGTCCAGATCTTATCCTCGGCAGGGCCGCCCTGCTCAGGGCCAAAGGCGCAGGTGCCGGTGGAGGAGCAAGCGGCCATGCGGAAACCAGCCTCGGAGAGACGGTCGAAGGCTTGCTCGAGGAAGTTGAACTTGAGGTAGTAGCGGGCAGTGTAGCGCTCAGGAGGGCGGTCGGGATCGCGACTCTCATTCAGCGTCTCTCCGAAGACCTCCTTGGCCAGCGCCGTCTTGCCGCAGACTGTGATGCGGGCTACCCGTCGGAACTTTGCGTCTGCCTGCGCCTCCCGCCCTATGGTGTAGGACCCCCGGTAGCCGATGGTGATGTAGCCCGAGCGCCGTCCACCCGCCCCGTCCAGCGACTGCGAGGGCGTGAGCAGTGGTCCGCCCGAGGGGCTGCGGCTGGCGGTGGGAGACGGGGCGGACGCCGAGGCACCGCCACCGCCGCCTCCTTCCAGCGGCTCGGCCTCCAGATAGCCGAGAAGCGGCTGCGGCGGCTGCTCTTCAGCGCAGAGCGAGCCGTCGCGGTGCAGTGCGGCGGGGCGAGCGGCGGCAGCCCGAGCCTGCGCCAGGCGACGGGCCAGGTCCGGCAGCTGGAAGTACTCGGCCTCCCGCTGGAGGCGGCTGCGCTCGGGGAAGTGCTCGGGCAGCACTAGCTGCAGGTCCCGCAAGTAGTCCAGGATGTACCGAAAGAGGAAGCCGTCGCGGTCAAGGAAGAAGCGGCCCTTGCTGTCCCGGGGCAGCTCGCTGGGCTGCTGCTGCGAGAACATGCGCCAGAGCAGCGAGTCTCGCACCGAGACCACGGTGCAGCGCCGCGTCACGTACACCTGCCCTCCCACGTTCAGCTCCACGATCTCGGGGAAGGACGACCAGCCGCCCGCCGCCGCAGGCCCGCTCCCAGCCGTCCCGCTCCCTGCCGCCGGCGACACGCCGCCGCCGTTGGGCAGCCCGCGGGCGCTGTCCGCCAGGGCCATACCGGAGCGAGTCCGCCGCCGGCGTAGAGCCGCTGCCCTTTCTCCTCCTCCTCCTCTGGCCGCCTGGGCTCCGGCGAGGCCGCCGCCGTCCGCGAGGGACCTCGCAACCCTCCGCCGCTGCCCGCCGGAGCCTCCCGCCCCGTCTGTCCCCGGAGCCGCGCGGCCGCCGCCAACCCTCTCCCCGCAGCCGCTCTTCTGCCCGATGCCAGCCAAGCGCCTCCGTCGGGCTGCGTGCAGTAAGCCCTGCCGGCGGCGGCGGGGCCGAGTTTATGTAGTACGGCCGCACCTCGCGGGAGGCGGCGGGGGGGGGGGGGGGGGGGGAGCTGGAGGGAGGCAGAGCCGAGTGCACGGGGAGGGGAAGGGGACGGCCCCGCACTGACGCAGGGTCCCCCTTCGTCGTGTGTGACCCCCCCCCTCCTTCCCAGTCCTCCTTCCCCAGCTGCGGCGGCGATCATCTTCCCACCCGGTGGACGGGCACCGCTGGATGCAGCCGGCGGCGTAAAACCTTGCCCCTTCACCCCCTCCCGCACCCCTGGGGCTTTCGGCTCGCTGCCTGGCGGCTTCTCAGGGGCGTCTCGTCTTTTCGCAGGCAAGAACCTCCCTCCGCTCGCCCCGAGGTGCGGGAGCGGGAAAGCCGCGAGACACTATTGTCCCTCCGAAGGAGCCGCGCTGAGCCCCCCGCTAGTCTTTCTAAGGCTTGTCCAAACCCTCGCCGAGCGAGACCCCGACGAGGTAGCCGTGTCCCCTCCCTCCCATCCCCTTGACAGGGGATAAACGCTAGCGTGCGGTGCTACCGCACTCGCCTCACCCTGATCCGCCGCCTGTTTCTGGGCTTGCAGAACACTCTCACTACGCAGGTTTTAAGGACCCCATCAAAACTTCTCGCTGACCCGGGACACCCCTTGGTGGCACCGGGAGCTGCATGCTGGAGTGTCCGCCGTCGGGGCTTGGGGGGAGAGGGGGACCCCGGAGCGGATGGGGTCCCCTCGGGCTGCCTGTCAAGCGGCTCTTTGCCGTGAGAGCTCCTCGTGTCTGCGTGAATACGCGTGTAATTGGGTGCTCTTGCAGCTCGGATTTCATTTGGATTAATTAGGTAGGGGATCTGCGTGAAATATTAGCACCTATTTAACATGCATTGGCAGAGAGCATTGAAATTACGCTTCAGGCTTGAATTTTATCTACATTTCTGTGTCTCTTTGCAAGTAACAGTAAAGAGCTGCTGCCTCGCAGTACTCAGTTGCTCTCTTCTGGGAGTTCAAGTGTTAGTCTCCTCGAAAGAGCAGCTGAAAGGACAGGAAGGTCTGAGGACTATGAAGGCAACGTCAATGCCTTCCTCTCTGGACTGCCGGCTGCAAACGTCCTAATGCAGTGATTCACGAAGTAGAAATCAAAAGATGCAGAGACAGGGGGGGAAGAAGTCCTTCGAAAATTGAGAAATGGGAGAGTAAGGAAGGGCAAGTTCTCAAGAAGCAAGCTAAGTTTGCCCAAGAGAAGAAGAGGCAAAAGAGGAAGGAAAGGAAAAAGAGGGGGAGTTAAGAAACAGAAGTTTTAAAAAGCAAATGGGTGACAGAAAAAGCGTGTGTGGAGGGAGAACTGAGAGGGAGATACTGTGGTCTAAGGAAGGAGATGGGGTGGGGCTTGGGGCATGGGACGCTTGGAAATTACAGGAATTTAATCTCATCAGGACTCAAGAGTAGGATAGCAAAGATGCAGAACATTACTTTTTCCATGTGGGAAAGCCAGCTGCCAGGGCTTTGACCACCAAGTGTTTTCAGCTGTGGGAGCAAAATGGAAAATCAGGTTAATCTGATGTTTTGCTGACATTTTGTAACAAGCAGCTTGTTTGTCTCCTTTTTTTATTTATTTTTATTTTTAGGGGAGTAGGAGAGAGGTGAAAACAGCTCTGAAAGATCAGGGAAAATTAAAGTAAACCTCAATGAAGTTGATTTGTTACCCTTTGAAATACCCAAGTCTGTTGCTGTAGAAAAGAAAAAAAAAGGAAAATAATGTGATTTAGCTGCTAGCACAGAGGGAGTCTTTGTTTTCTTCCCTTATACTATTTTAGGTTCAATTCACCAGCCTAAAAGTGCACGAAATTTTCACATGGCAGTTTGCTGGTAACAGTTTCATGGAGTTACTTTTACCTCTCAGTCTCTTAATGTGGCATCTCCCCCCACATCACCCTGCTTCTGGCCGTTCTTAGCAAGCAGCCACCTCAAGAGCCTCCCACAGATCCGTATTTTAAACTCTACTTCCCTAGTGTGGGCTCTCTGTTGAGAGCACTGTGATTAAACTGTGCACCCAGAAGATGAAATCATATAATGTTTGTACAGGCGCTTATTCAGAGCAGAATTTGCACTGGAGTATTTTGTACCTACCAGCAGGTGAGACTTAGAAATGCTCCCATATATATATATATATATATATATATATATACACACACACATACACATATATATATATGAAGGGATAATTAATCTATTAAACAATTTCTTTAGCATTGAGTATTAAAGTAGGCTAATAAAAACAGCACTAACATATTTATTATGCTTGAACTTTTTATTTGCCCTGAGATTTGTTAGATTTAAGACCAGACTTGATAAAATCTGAGCTTAATGGATCTTCCAGCTCGTGTTTTCAGAAGCTTCACAGACAAGTAAGTTCATAGAAGCATAGAATCATAGAATAGTTTGGGTTGGAAGGGACCTCAAAGACTGCCTAGCTTCAAGCCCTCTGCTGTGGGCAGGGACACCATCCACTAGACCAGATTGCGGAAAGCCCTGTCCAACCTGGCCTTGAACACTGCCAGAGATGGGGCAGCTTCTCTGGGCAACCTGTGCCAGTGTCTCACCACTCTCAGAGTAAAGGACTTTTTCCTAATGTCTAATCTAAATCTCCCTTCTTTCATTTTAAAGCCATTCCCCCATGTTCTATCACTTTATAGTCCCTCTCCAGATTTCTTTAGGCACTGGAAGCTGCTCTAAGGTCTTCTTGGAGCCTTCTCCAGGCTGAACAAGCCCAGCTCAGCCTGTCAAGTTATGCTGCTTCTTCAGACACTGGCTCTCCAGAGCTGCCCCTCCACCTGCCTGTCAACTAGAGGAGGCCAGATAAGAAGGACCCACCACATTCTCGTGCAGCAGCATGTCCAAAGTCATGCACATTAAGGGCGGTGAGTGGGGGGACGACACAGGACACAGACACACAGCTTTAACAAGCACCTTATTTGGGCCCCTATCCCAGATCTTTCTGTAGTGGTACGAACCGGCCCATCCCATTGCAGTGTTCTGTGTGCCAATGTACAAACTGACGTGACTCCCCGGGCCACCGGAACAAGGAGCCTTCTCATAGGAAGATACTGCTCATACAGCCTGTTCAACAGTCCTGGGCAAAGGCCCAGCTTGCACTGTTTGTCTCTGAGATAGCTGTCATTTTCTGGGCTTAAAAACAGGCCCAGCACTGAAATAGCTGGTGTGAGCCAACCTCTCTTCAGAAGAATTATCTTCTTTGGGCATCTGACTGCTGCTTTATGCATGTGAGGATACTTCGCTTGGCTGCAAGGCTTTGATTATTGTAACTTCTTTCTTTAACAGATTTTTTTCTTCTTTTCACAAAATATTCAACTAACTTCTTCTCTGTTTCCTATCTCTATTCATTTGGCTGCATTGGTTTCCAGTGAGCACAACTGGACTTCATCTGGGGGTATTATAATGGATATCAACTATTTTTACTTACGTGTCAGTTACCAGATTGTGTAATACAGTCATAATCTCAGTAGTTCATTTTTGTTTTGTCTGGGAGACAATGAAATACTAGTACATGTCACATTCAAGGTTGCCACAAAATGCCTCGTAAGGCATACACTCCTCTCTAAAGGGCACCATCATGACATTTCTGAGCAATAGCTCCTTCAGATAAGACAGTTGCAGTTTGGTGTTTGCTGTTAGCTGCCAACCAGAAGTAGCTACGTGTTGATGCATGCTATCTTAATCTGATGGGATCCAACAGTTTTTAGTATTTTGAGAAGTTTACACTGGGTTTTGGGTGTTTGGTTTGGTTGTTTGGTGGGGTGGCTTTTTTTGGGAGGTGGGGGGCTTTGGGTGTTGTTGTGTCAGTATTTATAAACATGTTTCCATCACGATGGGATGAAGAATGAGCTCCTATTTTGCATTTTGGGCAGCGCCAACAGGTTTATTCAGGAGGGTTTCCTTCACAAACCATAGAGGAAGGGTAACACCTAGTGGGAGTAAACCTACATTGCAATTAAGAAATGCAAAGAGCTCCGAAGATTCTTAATAGAGAGAAAACTTTAATTTTTCGGTCATAAAAAGTAGATGTAAACTATTTTATCCCTGTTCTGAACTAAAAATGGTGGTAAGCATTTATTAGTTCTTTTTTTCAGTCTGTATTGTATGAAATGGCTTAATATTGCTTAGAAAAATGCCTAATTAGATATGACTGAACTGTTTGAATTTTTAATACTAAATTCAGTGAAATATTTAGCCTCCTGCATAAAACCAAAACCAGGAGTTAGTGATCTAAACTGAACCAGTGGCTGAAATACGCTCTTTTTGGGCTTCACAATCTTGCTTAGAGGGTATAGGAAAAAGAGTACAGTTAGTCCCACAGCAGGGTTTATTGCTGAAGAGTTGGGAACTCTTCACATTTTTGGAGCTTATATGCTCTCTAAAATGTGTGTTCTGCAGGTTTGACTTTGTCAGTCAGTAGCTGGCTATTAGATGAAACCTTTCCCATTTCTGAATGATTGCTCAGGGTGAAATTATCCAGCTCAGCATTATACTGAAGTGATACCAAGTAATGCTGCCAAAAACTTGAATTGTTATTATTCCACCCAAAGCCTAAAGAACTCAACTGCTTCTAAAGAGAGTTATCTTTCCCTGCAAACTCAGTCTCACATGCTGTATATAGCTGGACAACACAAATTCAGAAGTTATAGATTTCCATATTTCATGAGAATTGTAATGAATGTTGTTTTTGAAGTTATATTTGATAATATCTGTTCATAACCTGTATGTTTGTATATGCAGTTGAATATGTCTAGCTGGAACTGCATGTTCAAGAAGTCCAGCTGCTATGAAAATACGTATGTTCAAGCATGAAAGATACTGAAAAATCATAGAATAATTCAGGTTAAAAGCAGGTCATTGAAGTGCTCAAGCACTTTCCTCCTGCCAGTGTGATACAGACATTGCTCTGAATAATTTTGTGACGGTAATGCTTTGCAGTGCCTGGAGAGGGAAGGAGGAAGGCAGAGGAGGGAGGGAAGACAGCCATTAGCTGTCTATTCGATGTCCTTGGATGATACAGAGCTGTGACTGAAAAACATAATCAAGTGAGCAATCAGTGAAATTCAGAGCTGTATTAATTTCCTTCAAGCACCTTTGCAAGAATTGGGAGACAAAATGCACCCTCTCAGTGTCATGGTGTTGGCAGGTTGTTTCTGCCTCAGTAAAGAAAAGCATTGAAGGGAACACCTTCCACACACATCTTGAGTGTCACTGAATTTGGAGGACACAAGAAAAAAGGCTATGCACCTTATGCCAAATGTACTCCCAGCTCTTTATTTTCAGGTGATATCTATGAAAATCTGATGCTTGATTTCCTGTTTCCCTTCTTTGGTTCGTTATCAGAAAGTTACAGCTCTGTCTGATGCCAAAAAAGCAGAGGACAGATAAGTCACTTTATAATATGTAGTGGTGTGGTATTTTACATGCACAACATATGAAGTTTTTCTCTTGTGCTAAATTGCTCATAACCCCTGTGGAGCAGTTTTAAATCAGGATTCTTTTTCTGAGCCTTGACTCTGAAATTAATCTTCTGTATCTCTGTGAAACGTTTCATTCACATCTTCAGATCTCCCCTTGGTGATTTTCCTATCTGTGGATAAATAGCATTCTGACCTAGCTTCTACTACAGCAACAGCAGAAAGACAACCAGACCTTTGCAAATGTGAGTGGCAACTACGTTGATCTTCTACATGAATCATCCATGTGGACCAACAACCTTAAAGCCATCTCCTAGAATTTGGCAGTATGAGGATTCAGGAAAGGAGCCTCCTGTTCAGGAAAATGCAGCTCATTATCTAGCCAATTAGGTTGTCAAATACAACCTCTACTCCCACTTATCAGCCTGCTTTCGTGAGGGGTCAGTGAGGCTTCGGGATAGGTTTCAGTGGGGAAAAAGCACATATTTTTTGGAGGGAGCTAAATCAGAATCTAAGAGCATTGGTTTGCAGAGGAGCATGTTAAGAATTGTCCCTAATACTGTTCCTCTGAGAAGCTAATCACAGTGGTGGTATCATTCCTGAGCAGGAGCTCTCTCCAATAGAAAATGCTTTTTAAGGAAATTTTCAAAATTCACTGGTCTTGCTTATACCCTTTTCTTGCAAAAATGTATCTTAACAAATTAATTCAAAATATTGGATGTAATTATTCTTTTCAGCAGAGTGATTCTTCAAAGGTAAAATAGCTAATAATAATGACATTGGTGGTTGTGTGTTTCCAATGTATGCATTTGCTTTAGCTGTGATTATTGGAGACATAGTACTCACTAATCTAATACATTTCAAAATCATACCTGTGGTCAGTGAACAGTAATTAATGCATTTGCTTTTTCTTTCTGCCACTATGTACCAATGCAAGCTCTGCCTAACCAGTGTTAACTCTTCAATTTAGATTAAACTAAATAAATGAAATGTAATCATTCATTCTGACAGACTCATTTGAAAGTTCTCATTGAACTCATTGAATGTTCTGCATTGTTCTCTTTACATCTTTTTTTCTGTTGAGATCAATTTAAAATCTGTTATGTTTAATAGAAGAAATATCAGAATCCTTACCAGGGATGCTTACAGCATCTGTAAAAGTATGAAGGAGGTAAAAGCCTCAGGTGAAAGTCCACAGAAGGCACACTAGTATAGGTAAGTTGGCAACTGATTTTTTACTACCTCATCTACCTTTCTTCACTACCTAAGAAAACTATGTTTGCACTAGTTTGATTTTTGGTTCTTTTTTTCTCTATGAAGACATAAGCTCATATTCTCAATGGCAAAACTGACTGTATTGGCGTCAAACCCTGCTTGTTTCACAGCCCATGTAAACTAACAGGCAATATTAAACTGTCAAGGAATGGATACCTTCAAGGAATGAATGGCTGCACAACGCTTGTATACTGTTGTTAAGTCCCCTACTTGCTCATCTCCCACCAGGGTAGTAGTCCCAAAGGATGCTTTGAATATGGTAGATGTGGTTCTAGCTTTCTACTGGAGCTCGACAGCCAAGTATCTGTCCACCAGTTTTCATAATTTCTTGACACAGACTGGAATTAAATTAATGAAGTCTCATTACAGACTCAGTGTTCATCTTCC